TGTGTGTGTGTGTGTGTGTGTGTGTGTGTGTGTGTGTGTGGCACAAGTCGACTCAGCCTAATACTGCCCTCCGGTTTGAATCGATACATTTTTATCACGTAATTACACGAAGACTCAACTCTGATAGGATTCCTGTCATGACTGATTTGAGCGACGATTGAGCCAACACCCACAGCGTGACAAGGTGCGGGAAGTAATCTGATGTTACGCGTGGATCCAGGGGAATGATTCATTTTCATGTTTTTGCTTTGTTTGTGTTTCCCCCCCCCCCTAACTTACTGAAGTGATCGTGTCATGCTGATGACAACCATTGTAAATCAAATGAAATGTAAGAGAAACGGTGACTGGGAGGACGTCTGCTCTTGGTTTTTTTGCTGTTGTTTCTGTTTGATGTTTACCAGTATAAATAAACCAGTGATTTAAAAACCAAAAACACCACAAAAATAAAAGGAGGGGGTAGATTTATCTCATTTTCAGCTTCTCTGGTTCATCTTCCCCTGAAATTAGAGCCCTGTTTCCGGACAAAATAATAGCTGAATCCCTTAGTTCTCTTCGAGCTCTGCAACTCAAAGTAGTAGTTGGCTCTGAGCCTTTGTATTTGTTCAAAGAGAGGGGGGAAGCGGATGATGAAAAGAGGCCACGTTTGTCACCGGGGACGCCCCTCGCCTGCGTATCTCCTCAGTCATCTGACAGCAGCGCCGTGCCTGTGCCCTCCGACGGCAGCCTCTGCAAAAAAAAAAGAAAAAAATCCTGCCGCAGGAGAGGTTAAACACAACCTCCGCAGTGGGAACTTGCGCATGACTAATTTCTACAGTTACAGTAACGACTCCGTGATATCAGGACTGACATGAAGTGCATTATCCCCCTTGCAATACGAGCTCTGATTCACGGTGTATTTTGGTGGTTTCATGCTGCCTGATTGATTTTTTTTCTTCATACTTGCTATACATGAATGTGCTGGTGTGCCTCTAATAATAAAGCCTTGCGTAGGGAAAACCTGTTAAGAAAGAGCCGCACGGAGACTGTGTAAGACATAAGTGAACCGCTATCACCCAAACACGCTGCATTCAGGCACTGATTTATATATTTTTAAATTATTTCTCGCTCATTACGGGTGATTAAAAATGCTGAGAAGCTTGGCCTGAACCTCGGTTCAGTCTTTGGCGAGAGCCAGAGGTGTGTGTTAATAATAGATGCTTTTCTGGAAAGAGAGAGAGACGGAGAGAAAGGAGGGGAGGCGGTGCAGTGAGGAGAAGATGGAAGGTTTTGTGAAACAAATACGGCGAGGAGGGTTTGGAGGCTGAGAGTCACGGGGGTGACGGTGAAGAAACGGAGAAGAGAGCGAGAGGTGCAGAGAAGAAAGCGAAGCAGCTCGTAGACTGAGAGGGAGACGAGAAAAGAGGAGGAGGAGGAGGGCACGGGGAGCCTGGCGTAAAGGGAGAATGTAGAGCAGAACAGGACGCGGAGTGCGGGAGACAGGGAAGAGAGCATCCTTTGTAAGCCAGCCATGCAGCTTCTGGCTCTTCGATATTCAGCGCACCTCCACAAAGATGGCAAGGGAGGGGACTGTGTGAGGGGGTGGGTGGCGGGGGCTGCATGAAGAAGGGGCAGCAAGGAGGTGAGCCTGGGTGATAGACCTTTGGGTGGTGGAGGTCTGGCAGATATAGGAGCAGTTCGAGCCCTGCGGCCAGAGCACAAACACTTCCTCATTCACAAGACTGCACGCTGCACAGCTCTGACCCGCTTTGCAAACGCTTATAATGAGTTTCCATGCTCGCGTCTAGCCTGCCTCCTACCCTCAACATCCTCTGACCCCCCCAGTCTTAGATCATGCTGACTCACTCCTCTCGAATCTCAAATGCGGGAGTCCTGTCATACTCCCGAACAGCCATCCAAACCCCCTACCATCACCACCAGCCACCAGCATCCTTCACAACTGGAGCTGCCAGCCTGCCAGAAATTATTTCTGCTGTTTCCCCAATAATAAATAAAAAGTAGTGTCTGTATTTGTAACGGTTGTAAATGACTTGTTGGCAAATAATCTGTGAAACATACGTCAGAAACTGATATAAAGCTATTTTAAGCCAGAAAGAAAGATTCCTGTCATGAGGTAGAAGCTGCAATCAGATTCTGTCAAAGAGGCTTTTATATATTGTTTAATTATGAATGTAAAACTCTCACTGGCGTTAAAAAAAAAAAAATCTTTTTCAAGAGCGAGCCAAGAGTGCAGCAGAAATGACAAAAATATAACACAACACTTCTGTAAAGACATTATAAGTGGCCAAAAGGGACTGGATTGATTAGAATGTGAAACACAGAACATGTACAATAACGCAGAAAGATACTTACAAAATTTCTTAACCTTTTGTATCTATTGTGGACTGCAAACTATTTCCCAATATAAGCAAATATATTAGACATAACAACACACAGAAACATCTGAAATTACTGCTGTTAACTGCTAAATGGGCTTTTCATTCCTCTGCATGAGCACTTAAACCTATACGTAAAACCTCTGATGCCACAGTTGCGCGCGTTTAATGAAGATCATGTGGTGGGCAAGAAGGGAAAAAATGACACTGGGACACTGATGTGTGCAGCTCGAGGTCAAATGTCTCATTTAAAGAGATTGTCGTGTGTGTTTTAACAAAATGAAGAGCCTGTTGGCGTCGCAGTTAGAGTAATAAGGAAAACTGAGGTCTTTGAACAGGTGTGTTGGCGTCCTTCGCTCTCCGGGCTGCAGCCCGGCGTTTCATTATCTCCGCTCTGCAGGCAGTGTTTTAGTCAAAGTCGCACATCAGACAATTTCTCCCGATGAGCGAGCATCATTCATGGTTGAGCATGTAAAGAGGAGCCCCGGGGGTCAGACAGCGAGCGCAACCAGGACACCGCAGGTATCCATCTGGTGTGGCAAGGTGTAAAATATGCACACGCAGTTCCGAAAAGCATGCATTACTGAGAGGAGTGGATGGGTCCAGAATGAACATCATGGCTCATTAATAGTGAATGTGATTACTGTTTCTGGGAAAACAGCAGTCTGGGTGGCTGGTAGTGGTGGTGTTGGGTGGTGGGGGGTAATTGAAGTGGTCGAATCTAAAGACTTATTTGTTTACTCAGCACCAACTGCTACTGTCAAGTCAGAACTCGTGACTGAAGTTTAGAACTAATGCTGCCGAGCTTGTCGCCCTGGAAAGCCTCTCCTCTCCTTCTCTCGCTCTCTGTC